GGGAAAGAGCCACAACCGGACTCAACACACGATGCACCCCCGGCCTGACCAACCAAGCATCAATGACCCAAGGACCCCCTCCGGAAAGCAGTCGTCTCATTCCTCGCCAGAAAAGGAGGAGACGGCTGCAACCAAACAAACTGACCGCCAGGCCCAAAAGAGCAGAAACCCCTGCACCAGATGAGAGCATGAAGTTTACCAGCCCGACCCCTCCAGAGCCCAATGCCAACAGAAACAGAGCCTTGGATAAACAATCTTGAACCGAAGGGGCCACCACAAACCGAGGAGACGAAATATAGGAGAGCACCCTGTCCAAGGACGAGAACGGCTCAGGAAGCGCATGAACAGGCAGGAGGTGAAACAAAGCACAAGAAAGCTTATGGAATGGGGCAGAAGTTATATCCACCCCGAACACAAGCTGGAGCGGCTCTGCTAGTGTGGCACGATACGCGACGACAGTATTAGGCATCAAATGATGGTCTTGAAAAGCCAAGACAGAAAAAACAAGACAACCCGATCAGAAATAGAAGACAACCTATGAACAGAGAAAAAATGGTGGATAGACTGCCAGGAAACTTCATACTGTCACTAAGACGAAGCTCTCAGGAGGAACACCATCAACGAAGCCACCTGATCACCATACAAATGGTGATAAACCCGCGTTAAAAAGTCCAGACACGAAGAGCGGAGGAGAAGACCGAACCAGCCATGTACCATACTGGTCCAACCTGCTGGAAGAGGTAGAGCTGCGGAAAACATCAAAGGTTCGCACACAGAGCAAGCAGGACCTGGAACCAAAGCTGGGCTGGCCACCAGGCGGCCACGAGGACTACTCTTTGTTGGTAGGACTCCAACCAAGCCAGAACCTGAAGCAACAGCTGGACCGAAAAGAAGAGGTAACCCCACCTTGAGCAGTCCTGCCGAAAGATGTCCACGAGACCACACCGACGCGAAGAGGTCCACTTCCAGGAGACCATACATATGACAGAGCCAACTGAAGGTGGTGGTGTCAACCATCCATTCTGTGGACAGGGGAATGAACTGGGACAGGCTGTCACCAGAACGTTGGACACTCCCCAGATATGAACAGCACGGAGAGCCAAACCCCGAGAAGCTAGCAGACGAGCCACTTGAAGTGACAATCCCAAAGAGGCAAGGACCAAAGAGAATCCCCTGCAGTTCAGGCAATGAACCACCGGAGAACAGTCCAAATGGAGCCGGATAGTCAAATACCAAGCGACCCAAACCCTTCGAAGGTTCGCAGCCAAACCGCTGCGAACTTGCCAATATGCATCCTTGAGGTCCAGGGACATCATCCAGGTACCCAGCTCCAAAAGAAGCCGGACCTGAGACATAGTGGTCATCGGAAAGAAGGGGCAAGGAACCCATGGGTTCAGACGACAAGTCCAGAAAGAACTGCAGATCCGCACAGTCCCGTTTCGCCATTGGGAACAGACGAGAAACCCACTTGAGGGACGAGGTCGTTTCAACCACGCCCAAGCACACCCACTCCAAGATGACCTGACGAAGCACAGAGGAAGAAGACTGCCCCATCCACCCTGCACCCCCCTGAAGGAAAAGATGCCCAAACCCGCAACAGGCCGGATGACATGGCCAAAAACGTCCACAAATCGTGGGACCAAGCGAGAGCAAACAGAGCGAGCCTATGCCGGCTCCGAAGCTGGCACCAATGGCCCAACTCAACCAACAGAACCCCGAGCCCTGGCACAACCTTTCCGAGAAGGCCGAGAACAGCCACCCCGCAGAAACAACAAGCCCAGCATGGGATGACAACTAAACAAAACTGACTGCAGAAACTGTGTGACAGCAGATTCTGTAAACTGCAAAGGACAAAACGGCGTAAAAAACCTAAGAGCCAGAGGCCAAGCGGATTCCAAAGAGAGAGCAAGCACAGGCTGATGACACATGAGGTGAGAAGCAAAGAGCAGACACACCACCATCTTCAGAATAGGCGCAAACAGCATCAACAGGGTGGACGACGCCTGAGCCACCGAGGCCAGCACACCAGATGAAAGCCCGGCACTCAATGCCTGCACATCCTTCTCAAGCCAGGCCGAAGACAGCTCAAGAAGGGAAAAAGAAGTGCAAGACCGAAGCCAAATGCCCACGGGTGGGAAGGAACATGCCCATGCAGCTGCACAAGGCCAACATCCCGAGAAAGCACATGGGGCAAACAAGCACACAATAAGGCACTGAAACTTGCCCCCCCCCCCCATTAAACCTGCAAAACAGTAGAAGTTTCTCGCCACTCAAGCATGTGGGTCTGACAGAACCCATGCTAAGCTCCCAACGAAAAGAATGGGCAGTCTGCCAGCCAAGACGACTCAGGAACCTCCAAATGCACCCACTATGGGAAAGAAAAACTGAACTCAAATAAGGACGGATCCATCTTGGAGGCGGAATCCCGGTCTCACAGGAGGTATGCAGCAAGAGCCTCCCGAACCTCCTGAGGGGAGATTCAAGAAGCAGAAAACCTTCGGAAGGATGGGGCCAAAGAACCCAAGGGAACCCAGAGAGGAGCCGATCCCAAATCATACTCATAAAGGGAAGGGGGTAAGAAAACCTCTCCCTCTGCAACCACAAGCCCCGCGAAGAGATCACAAACACCCAAGCGGGATTAAAGGGGGCCAAAGGCCCCCATGTCGACTCTTCCCCATCCCCAGAATCCCCCCCCCCCAAGTTGGGACCCCAGGGGTAGAGCAGTCCTCCATACCCTCCACCCCTGAAAAAGAGGCAGTCCAGGGAAAGGACCAGGGAGTGTGGACTGAACCAAAGTTGAAGCTAGTAACGCCCCCAGGTCCAGGTCCCTATAACTAAAGCAGGGCAGCCGCGGGGCATCCGGGTGGGAAACCAACTGAGCATGTTGCAGCAACCGAAACAGAGCATGCAACGTGGATGCTGCCTGTACCCTAACAGTAATGTCATCAGAATAGTACTGGAGAACAAGCAGAGAACACGACTCGCAAGACTCCGGGCCAAAGGTGTCATTGACCCAACAGGCAGCATGACGGAGGCAAAAGAGGTGATTGTCACCTTGAGCCAAGAACACACAGTAACCTGCGAACCCGTAAGAGGTGGGCTGAAACTTGGAATATGCATCCGTGCGTCCTCCGAGCCCTGACAGGGTTTTCCATGGCCCGTAGGCTGCCTGCTATGGAAAGCCCAGGCAAGATGTTGCTAACTGGTTAAAACCCAAAGCTAACAAGGGGGAGATCAAAATACTGAAATCCCTGTGGCATGTACAATCATTGGGGGCCTAGCAGACGGCCACCACAATATCATGTGGAACGATAGCCACACCAGGCAAGAAAAAAAAAAATAAAAGAAAACCCCCGCAAAAGTACAACGTTGCCAGAGGAAACAGTTACCGGCCACCATGTAGGTAGGTAGGCTGCACAACATCTTGATGCCCCAACCAGCACAATACCACTCCCTACCTAATGCCAAACAAGGGTCACGAAACCCCAACTGGCCCCCCAAGAGCGAGGTAAATGCCGAGCATCAAAAACCCGTACGGAAATGGTTTCCTGAACACACTGGGGAAGGGAACAATAACACGCAAGGGCAGTACTCACAGGGTGACTAGGGAAGGATGTCCCTAAGTGCATGCAGCCCCGGCACTGATGAGGACACCTGGCCACCACACACAACAACACTGCAGAGGTCGCCACAAAGGCAAAACACCGTCTTGGAAATCGAGGCTAGAGAAAACATCCGCCCCGGACCACATGTGGAGTTTGTTTTGTTATGCCTACCTTTCTGGGTGCTTAACTCCGGTCGATGGCAGATAAGGAAGACCCCTAACCACAGGGGGGATTTTCCAGGGCCATTGCTTCCTGCAATCTCTCTGAGGGGGGCCAGGTTCTGGCTCATGGTCCCAGGTAGGCTGAACTCCATAGACTTATGTCCCGGTCTAATATATCACACATTAGCCCGATAGCTCCAGGTAGCCATAGGGGCTCTGCACAGAAAAGCGAAAGTTTTAAGTCAGATAAAGCAACTTTTAAATAATTTGAACACAGGTAGAGTTCAGGAATGTCAGCCACGTATGAACAAATTAAGCAAGCAGCGAGGATTCGAGTATTGAAGATTTTAAATTTAACTCGGGCTAGACTTAGAATTTTAAGAAATAATATGCCAGTAGTAGAAGGAAAGTCTTGGTTGAGAAATTAGGTGATGACGTACATGAGACTGAGCTTGTGTGGAAAGGTTTACAGTCAGAAACTTTGGGTAGAGCATTAGAGGAAACTGTGCCTGGCCATAAGAGAAGAGTTTCATCTATATTGTGTACCAGTGTAGAGGGGACACACAAAATAAAGACATTAATAGTTGGTAAGTCTGCCAGACTCAGCCCCTTGATAAACTACCATGACAGTCTTCCCTACAACACTACAACTGAAGCAATGCTTGTATACTAATATTTTTGATAATTACTTCCATAATAATTTACAAATTTAACAAAAATTGTTGGATGATGAATGGAGTCAAGGTTTTACTGTTGCTGAATAATGCACACCATCATATTAATAGTCTAGTATCAGAAGATGTGAAAGATTAATTACATGGGTCCTCCATCAAACACAGCCTCTATGTTCCAGCCTATTGATCAGCCTGTTATGAATGATACAAAGAAAGCAAGGTACTGCCTCCCTTCATGATTTCCTCCCATAGCAAGGAAATGCTGCAGGAGGTACTGCTTATTCATCTTGATGCCAAGATGGATACAATCTTAATTAGAGTCAACAGAGTCAATCTCAATTAGTCCCTTCAAGCGACACGTTACAATAGACGTGACGTGTCGGCCAAATCATTGAAGTGTTTCCATCTAACACATTTATCAAAGTTTCAACAATACATATTTTATAATAATTTCTTCTACTTAAAACCCATTTCACCGGTTACGATTAATCTAAAACTACTATGGCAAATAAAATAGCAGCATCTACTTAAAAAATCATGCATTAGTAAAACAAAAAGAAAAAGATTAATATTTTTATGGGATTGAAGAATCATTTCTAATACAGCACTGTGAAGGAGGCACATTCCAGTTATATTTATATGACTTATGAACTTGGAACTGTTCACGACAAAGTAGGCTAGTGGCCTTTAGGGAATTATATTTTTCACGCATATGCAGAGTACTCTGCTTGTGAGTAACCAGGTATTCATTATTGCAGCCCCGAGATTTATATTCTGTATCAAACCTGGTATCGTGTACTCTATGCAGGTCTAAAGGAGCTAGCCAAGTTCCAAGAGAAACATCCTCATTTCTGTAGAGTTTCAAATACTTTGAATTTGTTGCAACAAATGTGACAACATCAGACGACAAAACGTATCCACCCCCTAATGCATATGGTAAATATCTATCACACAACACCCAATCTGCCTCTTTCCAAGGACCACTTTTTTTAGGAGTTGCACGTCCATCAAAAAATCCCCAATATAAACGCTGCTTATATGGCACACTCTTTAGTTCCTTGTGAAGCTGTGAAACCTGAACATATGTATCATCATCACATTTCAGCAGGAATCTAAACTTAACATTATAATGTACATGTACAAAAGAAGCCAAAAGCTTCTTAGTTAGAGCTTGATAGGAATCAATAACATTATTTAACAACAGTAAGTCTCCAAATCTTTTTTGTTCAGATTGAATAGTTGTGTTGAGGTCTTCATTTAAGCTATTGACACCCAGAACAAATAAATGAAGCGTGTCTGACTTTTCTTCACTAAGCCATGTCTGCCTGATCACATTTCTCTGCTCTACGTTAACTGGGGCACTTAACAAGACAATGACAAGGAAAACACTCTTTTCAGATCCTGCGTTTTGATGGCCCCACATGCCAAGCCAACGGTTTGAATCTTCTACATCTATGTGTTTGATTTTTTCTGTACACTGATGAATATCACACCTCATTGGATCAACTGTCATTAAAGTCGACAAACTTCCAAGCATAAATGCCCCAACACAGGACAAAACATAGATAGTATTACGAAGTGGCCTCCTGCAGAAGGGTAATCCAGAAGCGCGACGCATCACCAATACTTGTAGTGCCTGTAAACAAAAAGTGGTTTGATAGAAAACTACAATCTATATAAATAAAAATGTAAATGTTCGTTTGTTCAAAATTGCTAATCTCCAAAAGTTCTTCACCGATTGCTTTGAAATTTTGACACAACGTTCCATTTGCATACAAGCGTATTTTTAATATACCTACTATATAAATGTCATGTTTGTGACAGATAAAAAACATGCTTTTTTTGAAAAACTGTGTTTTTCACGTGAGGGAAATCTCTGAAACCTCTTTACCGACTGCTTTGAAATTTTGACACAATGTTGTATTCGAATACACGTGTGTTTTTATATACCTACTATATACATGCAACACCTGTGACAGGTAAAAACATGCTTTTTTGATAAAATAGTGCCACCTGTTGCACATAAAAGCAACACACGCTATACTAAATATGTTACGATTCCATTTCAATGTTTCCCATTGCATTGATAAATTGAATTTTCATCGATTTCAATTTATTTTTATTATTATTTAATTATTTTGTGTGACATTGTGTTGGAATTCAGCTGTGTTGTTTACCATACCATTCATTTCGTTAGTATAGTTAATTTATTTATTTTTTTTCATCATTTTTCATTTGTTTTTTTAACTGTTATTCTTATTTTTCAGTGATGGGACCATCAGATCATTTGATGTTTCCATTTTTTTGATGGAAACATCAGATCATTTGGGAACGCATTGGACGAAGGAGTGGGGAAGACGAGGGGACAAGAGTGGGAGATGGTGGGGGAGGATGAGGGGACGCGGGAAGGGGTAATGGTGGTGAGGACGAGGGAACGGAGAGTGGCGGATAGGTGAGAGGACAAGGAGACAGGGGAGTGGAGAATGGCGTGGAGGACAAGGGAACAAGGGAGTGGGGAATGGCGAGGAGGACAAGGGGACGGGGGGAGTGGGGAATGGTTGTGGGGATGAAGGGACAGGGGAGGGTTGTTGTGGCCAGGTACAGCTAGTAACATATATATAAATTTGTAAGGTTGAGATTTCTCTATTTAACATTCAAATTAAATAGATAGTTGGTTTTAAACCTTCTCTTCCTTAACCCTTAACCACCGTGCTGTGCCGAGTTTATTGTGAAATTCCCCGTGCGCATGAAATAAAGTGTTCCCCAAAAATTTGTTTTTCTTCATAAAGTGATAAATTCCTTTCCCTGAATATGTCTATGCAAAAATAAATACCAAATTCCACTTACTTTGGCTGTGGGGACGTGGACAAGGTGCGCTGTGACGTCATGAGGGGCTGGTCGCCTGTGTGTGACACGCCCAGACACGGTCGAGCGAGCCATTCAAGCACCGGGTGTTGCCACAAATATATTTTCAATTATTTGTTCTATGTATTTCCAATGCGGTTTTATTTGTTTTTTATTGTATATGATGCATATTTGTGTCCTTTACAATATGTATACAGTAGAACGTTCATAATGTTCCATGTAACTGTTATACACGTGTCAGTAATGTGTCCACAATAAATGTTTAGTCGCAATATTACTTGTTAAAAATTCACTAAAATTACAATATGTACAGTTTCACACACTATTTACACAGTAACACACTGTATTACACACTCGCCGAGGCAAAACATTTAAATGAGAGCAGGAATGAAGAAGAAATAAATTCTTTTTTCTACAAAGTGATAGGGGTAGGCAAACCAGTAAAGTGGTACATAAAGGCAAACCAACAAAATCAATAGAGAGAGGGGGAGTGAAGAATAAGGAGAGGGGGAACAAGTTCCTGAAGATTGCATACACCAACATAGATGGAGTGAGATCGAAGATACTGGAGTTAAGTGATGTAATACAGCTGCAGACACCAGACATTGTTGCACTCACGGAGACAAAACTTGAAGATGTAATTTTAAATGAGGTCATATTCCCAAGGGGCTACTCAATTTGGAGACGGGACAGAAAAATTAGGAAAGGCGGTGGCGTTGCTGTGCTGGTAAAAGAACACCTAAAGGTGAAGGAAATAATGACTGCCAATCCACAAGAAGTTGACATAATAGCACTAGAGATCTGCTATGAGGATGATAAACTAATGATGATAAATGCATATAGTCCACCGCCAAGCAGCACATGGTCAAAGGAGGAGCTAGATAGTAAACGTGAAGGTCTTATAACAATAATGAGAGAGATTATAGCGAGAGCGGATAACGATAGATCACGACTGTTGATAGTCGGTGACTTCAACTTGAAATCCATAGACTGGGAAGCATATGAAGCTAAAACAGAAGATTTTTGGACCTGTAAATTTGTAGACCTCATCCTGGAAACATTCTTGTATCAACATGTTAAACAAGCTACGAGGATGAGGGAAGGGGACGTTCCCTCCATGCTAGATTTGATATTTACCAGGAAGGAGGAAGAGATATTTGACATTCAGTACCTTCCTCCCTTGGGTAAAAGTGACCATGTCTTTTTGGGAATAAAGTATGCAATGCGTTATAAGCTGGAAGAAAATAAGGAGGTTGAAGCAGTTGAAAAACCAGACTTCAGGAGAGGACATTATGGTGACCTTAGAAATTTTTTTAGTGAGTATAATTGGACAGACTTGATGCTAGGCAAGGAAGTGAATGAGATGTATGGCAAGTTTTGTGAAATATATGATAAAGGCACAAAAAAATTTATACCAAAACAGAGATGCAGGACCAGAAAACAGGATTGGTTCGACAGAAATTGTGAGAGGGCAAGAGACCAAAAGACACAAAAATGGAATCAGTATAGGAAGAGGCCAAACCCCCAAACATACCAGCGATACAAAGATGCGAGAAACAATTATACAGCAGTAAGGAGAGAGGCAGAAAGAAATTTTGAAAAAGGGATAGCAGATAAATGTAAAACAGAACCGGGCCTATTCTACAAATTCATAAACAACAAATTGCAGGTAAAGGATAATATCCAGAGGTTGGAAATGGGAAACAGATTCACGGAAAATGAAAAGGAAATGTGTGAAACATTAAATGAAAAGTTCCAAAGTGTGTTTGTACAAAATGAAATCTTCAGAGAACCAGACACAATAAGAATTCCAGAGAACAACATAGAGCGGATAGAGGTGTCTAGAGATGAAGTGGAAAATATGCTAAAGGAGCTCGGGAGGAACAAAGCAGCTGGCCAAGATGGCGTTTCACCATGGGTTCTGAGAGAATGTGCATCTGAGCTCAGCATTCCACTTCACCTGATCTTTCAGGCATCCCTGTGTACAGGAATCGTAGCAGACGTGTGGAAACAGGCTAACATAGTTCCAATCTACAAAAGTGGCAGCAGGGAAGACCCCCTCAATTATAGACCTGTATCATTGACAAGTGTAATAGTGAAAGTATTGGAAAAGCTAATCAAAACTAAATGGGTAGAACACCTGGAGAGAAATGATATAATATCAGACAGACAGTATGGTTTTCGATCAGGAAGATCCTGTGTATCGAATTTACTCAGTTTCTATGATCGGGCCACAGAGATATTACAGGAAAGAGATGGCTGGGTTGACTGCATCTATCTGGACCTAAAAAAGGCTTTCGACAGAGTTCCACATAAGAGGTTGTTCTGGAAACTGGAAAATATTGGAGGGGTGACAGGTAAGCTTCTATCATGGATGAAAAATTTTCTGACTGATAGAAAAATGAGGGCAGTAATCAGAGGCAATGTATCGGAATGGAGAAATGTCACAAGTGGAGTACCACAGGGTTCAGTTCTTGCACCAGTGATGTTTATTGTGTACATAAATGATCTACCAGTTGGTATACAGAATTATATGAACATGTTTGCTGATGATGCTAAGATAATAGGAAGGATAAGAAATTTAGATGATTGTCATGCCCTTCAAGAAGACCTGGACAAAATAAGTATATGGAGCACCACTTGGCAAATGGAATTTAATGTTAATAAATGTCATGTTATGGAATGTGGAATAGGAGAACATAGACCCCACACAACCTATATATTATGTGAGAAATCTTTAAAGAATTCTGATAAAGAAAGAGATCTAGGAGTGGTTCTAGATAGAAAACTATCACCTGAGGACCACATTAAGAATATTGTGCAAGGAGCCTATGCAATGCTTTCTAACTTCAGAATTGCATTTAAATACATGGATGGCGATATACTAAAGAAATTGTTCATGACTTTTGTTAGGCCAAAGCTAGAATATGCAGCTGTTGTGTGGTGCCCATATCTTAAGAAGCACATCAACAAACTGGAAAAGGTGCAAAGACATGCTACTAAGTGGCTCCCAGAACTGAAGGGCAAGAGCTACGAGGAGAGGTTAGAAGCATTAAATATGCCAAAACTAGAAGACAGAAGAAAAAGAGGTGATATGATCACTACGTACAAAATAGTAACAGGAATTGATAAAATCGACAGGGAAGACTTCCTGAGACCTGGAACTTCAAGAACAAGAGGCCATAGATTTAAACTAGCTAAACACAGATGCCGAAGAAATATAAGAAAATTCACCTTCGCAAATAGAGTGGTAGACGGTTGGAACAAGTTAAGTGAGAAGGTGGTGGAGGCCAAGACCGTCAGTAGTTTCAAAGCGTTATATGACAAAGAGTGCTGAGAAGACGGGACACCACGAGCGTAGCTCTCATCCTGTAACTACACTTAGGTAATTACACTTAGGTAATTACTCAGTACTTTGGAAGTGAGTAATGATCAACGAAGTAGTCCATGGTGCACAGTGCGACTTCACTCTTGTGGCACCCGGTACAGATAGATTTTTGCTTCCTGTTTCTTCATTCTATGTGCCTGCAAATAACGCACTCGCGTACACCTTTGGCTTTAGTACTTGTAGGTTGTATGTAGCCAAGCTAGTAAAGCATAAGGTAGTATTGAAAAGATTATAGGAAAAGATCAATTAGTAAGGTAGTCTTGAAAAGATCGCTTTGTAAGGTTCCACACAGGAAGAGATTTAGCTAGCCTTAAAGAGTTTCCGTCAGTCAGGAAGAGATTCAGCTATTCTTGAAAATATCTATGGAAAACACCACCATGGAA